AAGAAGAAGAAGAAGAAGAAGAAGAAGAAGAAGAAGAAGAAGAAGAAGAAGAACAATATTAATAATCACTATCATAATAATATAAATTAAATACAACGATGATAATAATAATAATAATCCGCTCATATGACCTTATGCAGTTGCTAGCGTCGTAAATCATTTACCAAAACGAACAAAGTGCTTAAAATGTGTTCTGTAAACTCCTATTGTGAGCGCCTGTTTTCCAACAAAACACACATTTAAAAAAACAACCAAACCCCGCCCTCCAACTCACCAAAGAGCACAAGCAGCTTCTGGTTCTCGTTGTAGAACTGTTGCCACATGTGGAGGTCCACGTCCAGAACTTCCTTCTCCTTCTCCTCCTCCAGCTCGTCATCCTCCCCCTCCTCCCCCTGCGCACGCCCCGGGGCACTCAGCAATAGCAGCAGCGCAACCACCGCAACAACGCTCAGACGGGCCATAGTTGTCGTCATGGAGACCAAATATCCGTAACTGTACCTGTAGACCTACACACACGCAGCGGTCACACCTGGGGATATCGGCATATGGTCGAGTTAGTTTACCTAGTAAGCATTATCAGACAGGCTTTGACGAGGAATCCACAAGGAAAATGTAAGAATGGAAGACCAAAGATGACATGGAGGCGAGCGGTACAAGCGGAAATGGAAAAGGCAGGGACATCATGGAAACAGATAGAAAAGGATGCACAGGACAGGCTTCCGAAGCTGGAGAAATGTTGTTGATGGCCTTAGCTCCACTGGGAGTTAAAAAGGGCAAGAGAGAGAAGAGAGAGTTTACCTAGTGAGAAGTGGATGTAAAGGGTTTTTTAATTATTTTTTTTTATCATGCAAAATGTTTTCTCTCTCATGATCAAATCAGCATAATATGATGTTTTGTATCAAATTCATGGTAAACTTGACGCTGATGACAAATTTGAAGTCAGAGCATTTATAATATATTGTTTAAATGGACATTTTTTTTACCACACCACTCAACTCTAGCTGAGGCCGGTGAAAAGTTATTTGGCGCAGCCCAGATTTATGGACTCCCACCGCACCGAGCCTCATGAAATCAGCCAAACACACAGAGATTTTCTGACAGTATTGAAGTCTCGGGATCAGACATCTGTGCATGTTTGGTGAGCACTTGTGACGAAAACAGCAAATTTTTTCATTTTTGACATTGGGGAAGGGGGGGGG